GCTTCCTGTTTTCTTTCCTTGCCGTTGACACACAGAGTGAGGGACTTACGCCCTCAGCACAGTGCCCTGGTCTGTGGGGGGACGAGTGTCCCCGACTGCAGGATTTTCATCATCAGCTTCTCTGGGCCCCGGTGGTGTGTTGCCGCCCTCTGCTGCCAGCGAGTGTAGCCCCGAGAGAAAGAGCCATGGGGCGGGAGTCCGGATACCTCGATTGTTCTAGTAACTTGTAATGAGACATATAAATTGCACCATATATTTCAGAGTTAGAAAAAGGAAATTCCATCCACTTGTCACCCAGCCTCGTCTCAGACTGGTGCCTAAAGCTGATGTGGGCTCGGAGTGCGATAGCCAGACGAGGAGACGCTGATGGTCTTCCCTTCACAGGGCATGGGCGGGCAGCACAGTTACTTTGGGCTGTGGGTCGACGTCGACTTCGGGAAAGGACACAGCAAGGCCAAGCCCACGTGCACCACCTACAACAGCCCCCAGCTGTCAGCGCAGGAGGACTTTCGGTTTGAGAAGATGGAGGTGTGGGCGGTTGGAGACGCCTCCCACTCGCAGCTGGTGAGATGGGGGCCTTTCTTCACCCTCAGCTTTACCCCTTTTACGAGGTGGAAGCATCTAGAGACAGTTTATTCCAGATTTGTTTCTGTCAGTTGTTGCTGGCAGTGGGTGTACAGCAAAGTCCTGCTGGGGGTGGGGTGTGTGAGTGTGTGTGTGATTAGCAGAATGAACCCCTGGGAAGCTGGGCCTGCCCAGGGAACAGGGGTGCGTGGGTGGCCCTGTCCTCAAGATGAGGTGGGTCAGGGCGCCTTCTAGTTCTGTGGTTCTGCAGTGAGTCATCGTTGGGCCCTTTGTATCTTGTCACCTCCCAACGATGGCATGCCAGGGTAGGGGGACCTCAGCAAGGGAGCCAGAGCCCCTCCACATCTCCTTGTAACAGTAGGCTATCAGTCCACTCTAATAAGCTTGAAACCTGCTCTGGGCTGCATATCATGGTCATTGAACACGCCCGCTTCCCTTTTTCCCAAGGCCAACAGAGGCAAGAGCATTCTGGACGTGGACCCAGAGGCCCAGGCCCTGCTGGAGATCAGCGGGCGGAGTCGCTACAGCGAAGGGCTCCGGAAAGCCCCTGACCAGGAGTGAGGAGGAGCCTGGATCGAGGGTTGTCCTGGAGCCAAGCGTGACCCCCCTGGACAGAGCATACAGCCTTCAGACCTTCTCGCCATCCTGTGCGTGCCTAACTTTAACCCAGAGCTGCGCTGATCACATCCAGGTTGTCGTGGATGTGCTTCATCCGAACGCAGTAATTCCTCTGATGCCATATTTTGATCAGTGGGTGTATCTCGCAGAAATCCTGAGGGTCATATTAGCAACTTAACTCTTATACTTTGTTAATTTTGTATTGCCGAAATGCAGAGACACGGAGACACTTGAGACCTGTATTGGAATCAGCATTTGATGGGCATGTGGGTTCTTGTGAAGGGGGTTCCACCCACTGGGGGTCACTTGGCCCCTGCCGAGGCCGTCCCAGTTAAAGTGCCTTGGCATTCCATTTCGACTGCTAAGGACACAGGCATTCGGATGGGAATCTCGATGCTTTTTGGTGTATTACAGGGGGAAATAGCTGAAGGTTTTGGAGACAGCGGTGTGGGTCTTCAGTGTTTGTAAGGGTCCACATCTGCCTTCTCAGCTGTTTTTAAATGAGTCTGTGCCATGAGCAAGTGGGAAAATGGGAGCGCCAGAGAAGCAGAGTTGTCTTTCTGTTACTAATCTAATGTGGGGACCTTTGGAAGCCCTTCTGTAGCCTGTTACATAAATTAGTGGTGAGTAACTTCGCAGCACTGGCCTGGGTCCTGGGCCTCCTCACACTCTCCTGTCAGTATCCCCTCCCTGCCCAGTGCTGCTCCCAGAGGGGAGGGCTGGTCATTTGACAGCTTGGGCTCGCTTTAAACAAACCCCAGTGATCCTGAAATGCTGAGGACCTCTCAGGTGGGCTGGGCTTCTAAGCAGAGCTGCTATCTCGGGCCTGAAAAAACTATAAACACACTGTGCAAATTCTCTCCTTCAAGGAGCTGTGGGTGCCTCACTCAGACATAAGCCTCGGCCTCTTGTCTTTTGCTCTGAACTTTGACATTTTATTGTAGAGTTTGTCCTGATTATAAGCCATAGCAAACTGTGCTGTTTGCATTTTGTAGGTTCATTTTCTCCCGGGAGGCTCATCAAACTTGGCGCTTAGCAGTGCCCTTGACAGAGCAGAAGGCACTGCAAATTAGCCTTCAAAAGAAAAGCACACGCTGGGATGGCGTGACACACACAGACTCGGCCGTGATTGATTTTCCTTATAAAAAGCCAGTGTATAATATAGCCTCTCGGGTCCACTATGTGACTTCCTAACTGATGGAGTAGCAGTTACAGGATATTGGGATCCTCAAATATCCTTACATAAGTCTGAAGAATTAGGTCTCAAATCTTCTGTTTGTTGGGGAAGGTTTTTTTCTTTTGTGTTTTTTTTATAAAATGCAATGAAATACCTCACCAATAAAAGGCCCACTGGTGGCTGTACCTTGAGCACGTACCATTTGCTGCTGCCTCGGTGGCTGTCAGAGAGGCTTAGATTTTGTGTCCTGCGTGCTTTCTGCCTCGCGCTTGTTCTGAGAGTGCAGATCACAAATGGGGATATGTTTCCAAAGCTGCACACTTCCAGGAGGAAAGGAGGGGGCCCAGACCGGGCGCGTGGGCACCCGGGGGTGCCGCCCTCGCGGTGGGCCTGCGGTTCGGAGCACACAAACCTCTAGGGTGTCCGTCGTGGCCAGGCCACTGGTCTGATGCTCCACCTGGGGCCAGGAAACCTGCGATGCTTTTTAACCAGTGTTCTTTTATGAACCGGGAATAACAATTCAGGTTGTAAGGACCAGCAGCCTTCCTGTAACTGAAGACTGCTCAGCACCCAAAAAGGTGCTAGAAGAAAGAGGCAAAAAAATGCAGTTCCTGATACATAAGTGGCTATTTTCTCTCACCGTAATTTTTAATTAAAAAAACTACCATAGGTGGACATGGTAAAAAAGGTCAAACTGGAAGGATAGAACTTGAAAGGGGCGTCTTCCTCCTACGGCCTTCCCAGCATTTCCTTCCCAAGAGGCAGAAGCACTGGTGAGAAAGCCACTTAGGTCTCCTTCCAGAGGTAGCGCCTTGCACACTCAGCGTAAGTGTTTACACTCTGGTGTGGCCCACACTTTTGATTGGGTGCAGATGGCTCCACACTCCCCGCCTGCCTGCCTTTGTTTGCATTGACTGTGTGACATCCCACGATGCGGATGCAGCCACATTTCTAGCAATGCGTTCAGCCAGCCCAGCTGCGGTGAATATCCTGTGTGTGTGTCTTGGTGTGATTTTTGTCTGGAGGGTAAACTCTCAGAAGCGGAATTGTTGGATCAAAAGGTACGTGGATTTTTTTACTTACTGACAAATTAACCTTTCGAGCCNCAGCTGCGGTGAATATCCTGTGTGTGTGTCTTGGTGTGATTTTTGTCTGGAGGGTAAACTCTCAGAAGCGGAATTGTTGGATCAAAAGGTACGTGGATTTTTTTTACTTAGATACTGACAAATTAACCTTTCGAGCTGAATTTGTACTTTTAACATACTCGAGTGCTTGTTTGCTGTATTTTCATCAACACTACATTATAGTTTTTGCCCTGGTCTGTGTGGCTCAGTGGTTAGAGCACTGGCCCACGCACTGAAGGGTTGAGGGCACGATTCCTGGTCAGGGGCACGTACCTGGGCTATGGGTTCGGGAGTGTCTCTCTCACATCGATGTTTCTCTCTAAAAAAAAAAAAATCAATGGAAAAAAATATCCTCAGGTGAGGAGTAACAAAAAATTAAAGTGAAATAAAATGGACCTCTTATCTTACTCCAAAGTAAATTCCAGTACTTTTTATATTAAATGGTATGTCTCTTTCCCACTGACTTAAAATGCTACTTTCTCATTAACTGAATTGATGAATGAACTTATTTTTGTCTCTTAATTACTGGAGTTTTATGATAAAAAGATGTAAGAGCTGTTCTCCCACGACAACTGTTTTTTTGGAATTGTCCTTCATATGCTTGCCTGCTTTTCTATCACCCTTGGGAGCACTTTACTTCTAAAAAGTTTGAGAGTAGCATTTTTGAGATAGCACTAAATCTAGATTAACGCAGGCAGAACTGACACTTGGCTAAAAATGTATGATTCTTGCTATCCCAGAGCAGGAACATCTGAGTTTGTTACATAAATTTTTGTTATTGCTGGCACTGTGAGTGGACTTTTTTTTTTCCCTAAGATGATTGTTTGAACATAGAAAAGCTCTTACTTTTCCTACATAGTTTTGAACCATTACTGTGCTGAATACTTTTTTCCAGCGGTGCTCAATCCTGAACCTGCATCAGAATCATCTAGAGGGCTTCTTCAAACGCAGACTGTGGGGCTCCACCCCTAGAGTTTGATTCAGTAGGTCTGGGAGGGAGGGACCCAAGAATTTATATTTCTAATAAAACTCCCAGGTCATGCAGATGCTTCTGGTCCTGGGACCTCACATTGAGAACCACTGCTCTTTTTTGTTTTTGTCTATGAAATTCCCTANGCTTCTGGTCCTGGGACCTCACATTGAGAACCACTGCTCTTTTTTGTCTATGAATTCCCTGGGAGTTTGCAGGTATTATTTTTTTGGTCTGAAATCTTTATTTTGCCTTCATTTTTTTGTTTTTCTTTTTATGTTTTTATTGATTTTAGAGAAGAAAGAGAAGGAGAGTAAAATATCAATGTGAGAGAGAAACATCAGTTGTATCTGTACATGCCCCGACCGGGGATCAAACCTGAAACCTGGGTATGTGCCCGGACTGGGAATTGAACCCACGACCCTTCAGTGCATGCACAACGCTCCAACCAACTGAGCCACACTGGCCAGGGCTTGCCTTCATTTTTGGAGGATTGTTTTTGTTCTGCTTTTTGAAAGATATTTCAATATATTTTTTTCCCCAACCACTTTAAAAATGTCTTTTGTGTTTTGGCTTCCAAGATTTCTATTTATTTTTCCCCTAGCGTTACTGAGATATAATTGACAGAGAACACTGAAATTTTAAGGTATTACACACCGTGTGACTGCAGGTATTATGACTGCACACCTGGAAATAAGGATACCTTCCCTACTCTTCTGACAGCTGGACCTTTTATTCCTTTGTCTTAATTATATCGGCAAATATTTTGAGAACTTTAAAATCCTTCTCATTGCTGACTTTAATGGAAATGCATCTAGCCTTTTATCATTAAGCTTGATGTTGGCTGTTTTATTTCATATATATAAACATTTTTAAGTAAAGGGAAGTATCCATTTGTGTTTGTTATTAAAGGGTTTCTGTCAAGAGTATATGTTGACCTTTATAAAAAGTTTTCTTTTTATCAGCATCCGTGATTTTTTCAGAGCTGTTGAGTCATTAAGGAACAGGGTTCCAGATACTGAGCTGTTCTGTATTTTAGCTGTCACTTTCCCAGTGTGTTAATTCAGTTGGCCCGTGTTTGGTACTTTTGTAGCAATGTGTGTAAAGGAATTGGTCTGTTGTAGTTTTCTGTTTTGTTCTGGTCAGATTTTTTGTAAATCATACTTTAGTTTTAAAGCGGTGCTGGCTTTACCAAAATAATTTAGAACTTGCCCTTTGCTGGTTGCTTTCATGCGTCAACTTGAGCTAGACTGCGGTACCCAGTTGTTTGGTCACATACCAGTCTAGATGTTTCTGTGAGAGATTTCTCAGATGGGATCAACCTTTAAATCAGTAGACTTTGAATAAATCAGATTGCCTTCATAATGTGGGTGGGCCTCATCNTCAACCTTTAAATCAGTAGACTTTGAATAAATCAGATTGGATGAGGCCCACCCACATTATGAAGGCAATCAGTTGAAGGCTTAAGAGAAAAGACGGAGATTCCCTGAGAAGGAAGGAAGCCTGCCTCAGACTCCAGCTGCAGTATCAACCCTTTCCTGAGTCTCCAGCCTGTCACCTGCCCTAAGGACGTTGGACTTGCCAGCCCCAAGGATCATGTGAGCCAGTTCTTAAAACAACTCTCTCGCCCTCTCCTACCTATTGGTTGCTTCTCTAGAAAACCCTGGCTGATCACTGGGGGGTTAGAGTTGTGGCCTCATTTCATGAAAGGGGGAGTTTCATGTCTGGTTCTCCGTGGTGGTTTTTCCCTGGCTGCAGACGGAGGAATGGGACAGAGACCGCTCTGCTCTGCCATCTTTCAACTAGAAGACAGACACGTTTTAAGAACAGTCTTTGGGACANTAAGAACAGTCTTTGAGACAGTGGGTAATAAGGCTCAGTGGGTAAAAAGCCCCCATTTTTGTGGAGGAGGAGATGGGACTTGAAAGGGGCCAACAAGAAGCAGAGAAATGACCAGCAGCCCTAGCCCCCCGCCTTCCATTCCTACCCCGCACCCACGCATTCTTTACAAGTGGGCTGCACCGCATTGAGCTATGGCACAAGTGCACAGTGGTTTATAAAAATCATTGCGATTTAATAAATAGCGAGGTGTTTCTGTACAGGCTCCTCAGTCTGGCCCAGAGCCCCGAGGGCGAGAACGTGCGGTTGCGAGCCTGGGCCTGCGCTTCCTGCTGGCTTCCCAGGAAGGCCTGTGAGTGACCTAAAAACAGCCTCTGAAGAGGGGCCGGGGAGGGGCCGCAGTTATAAAAATATAGCTTATTTAGGGGATTTTACACTGGTCAGGGTCCACTGTACATCTTCATGATGAGTTTGGGCTTTCCGGGCTCTGGAGCAGAATTTTTCACATAGTTTGAGGAGTTCTGAGAAAATGAACACGGATGAGGCCAGTCCGGTTAAAAGCAACAAATCTGTAAAAACGTAAGGAGAGGAAAGGGTCAGAGAGCACAGGCTGTGCCCCCGCTGGCCACCGGCCCTGCTCTGTCTAGGACTCTGCCCCCAGAGTCGGGGCAGTGCCCAGCATGGAGGTGGCTGCAGGTCTGCTCCCTACACCCTATTCTTTGTTATAGAGAGACAGGCAAGGGGACCAGGAGCTGGGGACCAGGAGCCTTTGCACATGGTCCAGGGCAAGGGGCAGATTGTGGGGCAGTGGGCCTGCTAGGAACGGACGCCAGCCCCCCATCCCTCCGTAGATGCCCTTAACCATCGCTCTGGCCCCCAGCCCACCCTGAATTGTTCTAATGGGTTAATTCCTAAAGGCCCCCCATGACCCCACTGTGTCTTATTGCTCAGAACCATCCCAGCTCCCTTTTAATGACTCGTGACAAATGGTGGCCAGGCAATCACGGTGTTTCCTTCAGAGCTGGGGAGCTGGCTTCATTCCCAGTGGATGGAAACATCCATTAAAATTAGGAGGGGGTCTTTCGTCTGTTCCCACAGGGCATTCACAGGAGACCCATCTGGTCACTGCCTTTTAGATTTGGGGAAGAGCGAGCTCACATTCCCCAGTCTTGCCTCACCCCCATTTTCTGCCTGGGGGCTGCCTCACCTGCCTGCCCTGGGGTGGGGTTGGCCAATGGAAAGCTTGGGTCACAAGAAAAGGAGGCGTCGGGAAAGGGGTGGTATTTACCCCTGCTCCCTCTTAAGTCCCTGTGGTCAGTGTCTCTCTAGGCTTCCACCCCCTCAGGGCCCAACCTTCCTTCCGCTTCTTCTCACTGTCGTCACAGCTGCAGGCAAAGGAGGCCCAGCCCCCCTGGGCAGCTTCCAAAGAAAGAATGAGGGTCCGTGGGAAGCCTAGTCGAGGATGGGGGAGAGCCCCTGGGGCTCTGCACCAGGCAATGTGTGCTCAGCCCCCAGAGAGCTGGTCATTAAATCCTGTCCCTACTGGATGGCCAACTCCCTGTCTTCAGGTAAGCGGGTGTCCAGGTCACACTGGCCCCTATTAGAGCCCCCCACTGCCCACAGGGGAAACTCGCTCCTCAGCTGGGGCACACAGCATGTCAGACTGAAACTAGACTGTCACTGTACCTGCTGTCTGTGCTCTGAGCCTCCTTGCCCAGCGGGCAGTGAGGGGACCGAGATGCTAAGTCCCCTCTGCCCTGGGCCATCCTCCTGCCAGAGCACCTTTTCCCTGCAGTTCCCTGGGTTGTCCATGTCCCCGCCAGTGGCCCTCCCACCCAGTGCAGTACCAGTCCGGTCCTTTGTGGATGATGGAATGGCCCCAGGTATATGATGGCCACGGTCTCTGGTAATCCCGTGCTCAGGTCCCCTCCCACTCACCGAGTGCTCCGAGGTTCTCCGTCTGGAAGACCCTCTGCAGGGGCGGGACGTAAATCACGGCCAGCTGCCCCAGGATTGACCCCAGCACCGAGTACAGGAACATGTGGTTCCGGAGGAAGCCGATCTCGAATATTAACTTGGTCTGCGGGAGAAGGGGACAGGACCCCCGTCTCACACAAGGATGCCTGAGTCTGAGAGCCCCTGCGCAATTTGGGCAGCGACCATAATTCTACAGGGAAGGAAGCCGAGAGGGCCCCAGGGCAGCAGGTCTCACCTGAGAGCGACAAGTCAGGGCATTGAAGAGGTCAAAGAACACAAAACAGGTGAAAGTCATGGTTGTGGTACGTGGGGTGCTTGCCCTGTCTTCGGGGATCTGAAACACAAGTGCATGGGATGAGGTGACAGTCCCGCCATGAACTCATCCTTCACGAGAGCCAGGGATGGAGCACCTGTAGCCGCCGCTCGTGTGCAGGCCACAGCACTCTAGCTCTACTGGGAATTGATCAAGATCTCCCATCAGTCCTGGGTCAACTGGTGTGACCCAGAAGTGTCTCCTGACCCACCCCCAGGACCTAACCCCTCTGTCAGCACCTGGGAGAGGCCATTAGCCTTTCCTCTGGAATTTCATGCTAGAGGGGGGAAACCTCACAATGTCCCTTCCTCCAGCAGGTGACACTGCCTCCCAGGTGGTGACACCTCTACAGTTACATCCATGTGGCAGAATGTCGTTTCCTACAAGGAAGGGAGAAGAACCCTGACCCCACCGAGAACTAAGGCCTGTGGGGGCTGAATGAACAAAGCCACAGACCCCTCCCTTCTCCAGCACTACTGCTGGGACCCATCTCAGGTCTCATTCTGGCAGACGACAAAGGGGCGCGGCTGGGGCCCAGGGTGAACCCTGGTGATGAACCCTCTCTGTCCCAGGAGGCCGTCACCGTTCCTGCCTGAGCTCATCTGGACCAGAGGGTCACATGGCCTCAGCTGTGGGGGGTTATGTTAAAACAGAGTGACTCTGGAGAGCCTGGGAACCTGCATTTCTCACAAGGTCCTGGGTGCTGATACCAAGTTGCGGGGACCCCATGCTGAGGATGACTGTGTCACAACAGGAAGGTCTGTGTGTCTCCCTCCACCAGGCTGAGGACATGGGCTGGACAAAGGCCACTTTCTGTGGTGTGATGGGGAAGATTTGGGGAAAAAGGAAAGCTGTTCCTCCTAGGGCAGAGTGGTGGGGGTCCCATGTCCCATCCCCCTTCCTGGACATCGCCAATTGGGGGTTAAAGGTTGCCTAAGTCACCTGCCTAATCTCCATCTGGATCACTGGATGGCTTGGGAAACGGCTGCCAGAACCTGCAGGCCACAAAACTACCCCTAATAAGCCCCAATAAGATCCTGCCAACCATCACCTCGGGAAGACAGTTTCTTTTAGTAGATTTCAGATTGTTTCCTGGCGACAACAGAAAAGAGGAGAGGCATGTGTCCCGCTTAGAAAATCTGAATGTTTTACTCTGCGCCTGAGGCCTCACATCCCTCTCTTAGTTTCCCCCACTCCCCCCCAACGCTGCCCCGATGTTTACGCTTGTCTCCTCCCCCTCCCCGCCAGCAGGAACCGTCTACCTTGCTTCCCACATGCCCAGCCCCACATCAGCCACCACCCAGGCCCTGAATAAGCAGAGCCAGTGAGGACTTTCCTCACCTCTTTCCAGAAGATGAAGAGGGTCCCACTGATGATGACAGAAGCCGACAGGAGGATCTTAAGGATGAGTGCTCTGCTGAGGATCATGTCCTTGATGTTCCTTGGCGGCTGCCGGAGAGTGTCTTTGTCCACCGGCTCTACCCCCAAGCTGCTCGGAACACAACGGGAAACTTTGGAATGAACCACCGAAAAAGGGTAGTTTCTAAAAGGCATGAAGCAGTTAGACAGGAAGCCTGAGGCAGAGAAGTGCTCAAGTCACCATCAAAGGTACAGCCAGGACAAGGTGTTCCCAGTCTCATGGGGACCTCCATGTCCTTGCTGGAAGCCTGCCCTTCCCATCTTCTGACCCCTCCCTAACTACCTAGCTCCTTGGCTCCTTCTGGGGAGCCCCTCACAACCTGGACCTGAAGGGCAGCCTGCCGACCTCCATGTGGACACCCCCTCCCACCTTGATCTTGGACCCACACTTAGTCATTCCCCTGCTCAATTTCCATCACCACGAGGAGACCCACCCAAAGCTGGGCCTGGCCTGATCCCAGCTGGCCAGGAGAAAGAAGACCCAGGCCCTGCCCACCACAGAGCTCCCCATCGACTGAGGGACACCCGCCTTCAGCCAATGCTGAAACAGTGGTAGGTGATGTGCGGACACTGAGGAGGAGGCAGGCTGCCTGAGGTCCCACTGTGTGCAAATATGGCTGAGGTCCTGGCCCTATGCTCAGGCAGAGCATGTAGAAGAGGGAGCCCTTACTTTGGGCATGGGAGAGGACGACCAAGTACAACCTTCTTTCCCTTGTTAATTATAGTAACAAGAAATCAGCTGCATCTGAAACACCTATGTGCTCAAGCATAGTGAAGTGCCCTGTTTGCTTGGGTCTTCCTGACTCCAAAGCCCATTCTTCCTCCTGCATCATTCAGCTAGCCTAACTCCCTGAGAAGTTAGGCTATCATTCAGTCAATAATTTCCTGAGCTCCTGCTATACACCAAGCACCACTGTAGGAGCTGGGGAACAAAACAAAAGCCTTGCCTCCATGAAGCTGACATTCTAAAGGGGAGATGGATTATATATAACCAGATAAGCAAAGAAATACATATTTTCCTGTCTAGGGGAAAATAAAGCAGGGTAAGGTGACTAAGAGTGAGGAGGCTGCTGTTAAGAATAATCAGGGAGGACTTCTCGAAGGCGGTAACTTGAAGGCTGGCTCAGGGAGAGCATTTCAGGTAGGAGGCGCAGACTGTTCTATCATCCCCTGCCCTGCCTGCCTGCCTAGGTGCTTTCCCCTATGCCCAGTGCACCACATTTATGTTTTCTAGGGTTCCTTATGGCCGGTGACCACCTCTAGCCATGGGCCCCTGTACAAATCAGGGGTGCAGTCAGCAGAGGCGGGCAGAAGCCGTGTGGTCCCAGCCATCTTGGCCTCACCTTTGCGCTGGCGGCCCGTCCATGATGATGTTGATCCACAGGATCTGCATGGCGTTGAGGGGGTTGGGCAGGTTGCACATGGTGGACAGAGTGATGAGGCTCAAGGCCGAGATGCTCCTGTGGGCACAAGCGGCAGAACAGGTTACTGCCAATAGCTGCTGGCCAGATGCAGACGCAGCACTTGATGGTGCTGGGAGCTGCTGGCCTCGACTTACGTGCTCAGCTGAAATCGGACAAAGTTTTTGATGTTATGGAAAATCCCCTTGCCTTCCTCCACTGCATTCCTGCAAGAGAGGAGAAAACATTTATTCACAAAGAGGGCCTGGTGCAAAGGTTCGGCCAGCTCTATCGGCTGCTAACTGGGTGCTGCCTGCCACTAACCCCAGGTGGCCCCCATGACCCTGCTTTAAGTGGTGTCTGTGCCTGGGGACACCTTGTATCCACAGCACAGTGGATCCTAGGGGGAAGCTGGTTAATCCACACATTTTTGCCATGAAAAAAACCTAAAGAGCAACTTACATGATGGCTGAGAAGTCATCGTCCACCAGGATCATGTTGGCAGCCTCTTTGCTGACATCTGTCCCCGTCTGCCCCATGGCGATTCCAATGTCCGCTGCCTTCAGGGCCACCGCGTCGTTCACCCCATCCCCCGTCATGGCCACGATCGCCCCTGACTCCTGCAAAGCCTTTGGAAAGAGGAGGCAAGTGGAGGCAGGCCGCCTGAGGCCCTTCCTTTCCTCTAGATGCTCTGCCTCTCGCACTGTGTGGCTGACAGCAGAGACCCTACTCTGGAAGGTACTGCAGTCAGCTGGCCGGAGTCTGAATCCCAGCTCCATCTGCACTACTTGGGGGAACTGGGCAAGCCTTGAAACTCTCGATCTGTTTTTCCATCTGCAAAATGGGACCAACAGCCCCTTCTTCCCAGGGCCGTGGTGAGGCCTAAACTAAGATCATGGATGTGACAGTGCCTAGCAATAGTAAACGCTCAGATGTGCTATCCATCACCATTAACAAATAATAAACTTGTTCCCTGCAGCCATGCAGGGTCCAACATTTTCTTTGAGGAATAACTTGCATAGAGATTTACTCTGTAAATGAAAACCCCCAAAAATGACATAAAAGAAATATGACTACCAATAGAGTTAAAGAGCAAATTTTCAAAGTATACATGTGTGGGAAACCACGTTTGCAGGACTCTCATTCCAGCACTTTAATTTTTTGATGTACAATCTGAAAATTAGATCCACTCTTTGGCACCTGCTGTGGGCTGGGAACTATGCCAAGAGCTTCACAGGCCTGGCCGCCTCTAACCCTCTCGCCAACCTTTTGAATTAGCTGATGTCATTCACCTTAATCCCCACTTGACAGACAAGAAGACTAAGGCCTGGAGTTACTAACGAGAAGATGCCAAAGAGCACTCGACTAACAAGAGCTGGCCTCTAATCTTTTCCTTTGCATTACCCAAGAGAAAGCCACGGCTTGCAGATGACCAAGGCTCCTGCCAGCTGGGGCCCGGCCCATATCCTGCCGAGCGGAGTCACTGCTGCCGCCCTGGACTGTAGCCTGAAGGACAAGTGAGGCAGAACCTGTCCCCACACACAGCTTACCTTTATGATTTTGAGTTTGTGCTTCGGGCTGGTCCTGAAGAAGACAGATACCTGGATACGGAGGCATGAAAGAGCAGAGTCCATGAATGTGAAGCTGGAAACACAGCCCCCTCCACCGCTTCCCGGCGAGCCCCCGGGAGGACCCCACCTTCCTGGCGTGGTCAGCCAGCTTGCTCTGCTCCATACTTTCCACCTCCTCCCCGGACATGGCGCTCAGCTTCCCGTTGCACAGGCCAATGTTCCTTCCTGGTAGGAGGGAGAAGCCATCCTGAGAGCTTGCTCCGAGGCCTGCAACTGTGGTCCCTATCCCCACCCTGCCCACCTGCCATAAGTCCCTGCCCTGGTCTCAGAATAACAATAAAACCATGGTCACTACCATTTACTGAGCACCTGCTATGTTACATGATCTAATTCTCTCTGCAGAATTGACCTCCAATAAGGCCGCCTTGTCCCCCACTTCCACGATCAGGGGACTGAGAGGGAAGTAACTTCCCCAAGGTCACAGAGCTGGTCAGTGGTAACACTGGGACCTAACAGGGTTCCGTCTGGTTCCACAGTGCCAGGCTGCCTCAAGACGGGGGCAAGGAAACCAGGTGTGACAACCTTCACAGCAATGAGTAGAGTAGTGGGAACAGGGCTGCTAGCTAGCCCTCTTCTGATAAAGAGCCTGAGGGCCAGAGTGGTTCAGTGAGTGGCCCGGGGTACACAGCCGATGGCAGAAGCCAGACTGGAACTATACACTGGGATGGATGCTGTGGGTGAAGATGAAGTGAGATCATGGATGAAAAGCCCTGGCACGTAGTAGGTTCTCACTATACGTGAGGTCTTTTCCCCTTTTGGAGAATCTGCCAACATTTGAGAGAGAACAGCTTTTGAAGGTGGGAGGCTGGTGCGTGAATCTCAGCTTCTTTCCTAAGCACCGAGGAGGTGAGCGCTCCTGACCAGGTTTGCCGAGGATTAACCAGTGGCAGCGACCCCACTCTAAAGGACGGCGGGTCCTTTCTTCCCCACCCTCCACCCCCTTCCCCATTACCTATCGCCAAGGCCGTCTCCAGGGCATCCCCCGTTATCATTTTCACGGACACGCCAGACTCGCAGAGAACCTGCACGGCTTCCTTCACGCCAGCCCTCGGGGGATCGATGATTCCAACGAGGCCCAGAAATGTCAGCTGTCCCAGCTCGGGCCCAGAAGCCATGGCCAGCACTGCAGAGAGACCAGGCCCATAGAAGTGTCACTGGGGGCGAAGGGACCGATTTTATCTGCAGTCAGCCCTGGCCTCCAGCATGTCGCAGTTCCTCCTGTCTGTGAGGGGCATGGGCACTGAGCTCCCGGACTACCAAAGGGGAGGTGACGGTCGGTGCAGGCGGCAGGTCTCACCCCACATACAGAGAGATGCTCGAGGCAGCGTCCCTGGCTGAAAACAAGACCTCTGTCCGTTGGTGGTATAAACCCCAGCCCCACCCCAGCAAGAGTGGCCATGAGAAAGTCCGCGAGATGGCCTACGATGGGACATTTCTGACAGTTCCCCTGGTCTTTCATTTGCTCTGCTCTCATTTTGTCACCTCCAGCAGAGTGGGGATAGCAGCTACCAAAGGTTAAGAAAAATGTGCGGGAGGGGAACACGGGTGAGGGGACTCTGTTTCAGTGGCCCAGAAGCCAGGCCCAGCTCCTGGGGCGAGTGCTCCGAGAGGGGGTGGCACGAGAGCTGGCCTTCCTTTGTCACGTTACTGATAACGGAGAAGGGCTGTGGCCCAGAAGCCTCCAACTGAGCCTCCCTAAGTCAGGTGCCATGTGCCCGTGACACAGGGGATATTCCTCCCTTCCCCAAGGCTGACATGTCCTCACCTGTACACTGTCAGCGAGCTGCTAACAATGTGTAATTTGTGTTCCTGAAGGGGAAAACCAAGGCCGCGGAAACCAATCTGGCAAGCCCGATGCGCTCATTTCCCCCAGAGGGTTTTTAAACACTTCCTCTGAAAACAGGCTGATAAATGATAAAGCTCAGCCCCTCGGGGAAGGCACCTGCGCTGGTGCAGAAAATTGGAAATGGCCAAGGAGTGAAATGCTTTGATTGAAAAGAGCTCTAGGTTTCCCTGACAGTAAGCGCTGAGCAAGAAGACCGATCAGGAAGATCGGTATTTCTGGGGTGTCCCGTCCACCTGTCTTAGAAGACTCAGGAGGCAGGGTTCCCCCTCTTCTCACACACGAGCTGCACCCGGATCCACGGGTGTCCCTTGGTGGGTAGGGCTCCCCATAAGTTCCACACTTGCTTTCCTTTCATTGGCACACTGCCCGGCTGCCCTTCTGACCATCGCCTACGGACTGGGACCCTGCATTAGTGAGCTTGACAAGTCAGCGTCACGTGCAAACTGAAAGCCCGGGGCTGGGGCCACAGGCACTGACCCCGCAGGCCAAGGGACCCCATTTTCTTCTCTTCCTGCTGGCAGAAGGCTCTCTGTTGGGGTGTCAGTGGCAGGGGGATGCCCCCGTTGTTGTACATAGTACAGTAACGAATCACTTCTTCAAAGGCCCCCTTCATGAAGTAAATGTCTTCCTGCTCCTAGAAAAAGACAAAAGGGGAAAAAAATCTATCACTGGGTGCTTCAGCCCTCGGTGACTGTCACCTCATCCACAGAGAGATGTTCGCGGCGGGGTGACTTATAGCGGACTGTCAGCTTTCTTCAGGATGGGACAGGTTAGGTGAGTCACAGGGAACCCACGCGATGGAATACTACACGGCCCGTAAAAGGAACGGGGCTGACCTGCAACCCCCGCCACGACGCCCTACATTAAGCCGCCTTGTCAGTGTCACTCAGGGCACACAGTATGCTTCGCTAATGGGTCAGTGTTACGTGTTAGGTGTGCGACTGACTGCGCGATGTCTGGTCTAGAACACTCTATCCCAGGCCGGTCAGGGGAGTTACCTGGGGTGAGGGATGGGGAGGGAGAGAAGAGGGGCCAGATTATAAAGCGCTTCCATTTTTAAAGTCACATTTCCATAATTTTTTAAATCCTTGCCCAAGGACATGCTTATTGATCTTAGAGAGAGAGGAAGGGGGTGGGGGGAGAGAGAGAAACATCGATCAGTGTGCCTCCTGTAGGCATCCCAACCGGGGATCAAACCTGCAACTTTTGGGGATACAGGATGATGCTCCAACCAACTGAACCACCCTGCCAGGGCCCATAATTTTTTTGATGAAAATTTATAATCACCTTTGGGGGAAGATTTGAAGGTATTAAGAATTTTTTAAAAATCCACAACCCCTTTTAAGCACCCAGAATTTACATGCCCATCTATCTACTCGTGGCAAAGACCTGGAATGAGCTGACTGAGCAGCCGCCTGCCCTGCATGAGATGAGACATCTCATCACAGACAAGACGTGATAGATTCTAGAATGAGTGGGAGAGAAGGGGGAGGTTGGAAGAAAAGGTGGAAGGCAATAAAAAACTTTTTTTCATTGTAGAAAATATGAAAAGCTACAGAAAATTAAACAACACAGGTAGCCATGAATAGTTCGTGACATATTCCTTGAGTTGCTTCCCACGTGCACACACGTGTCTATGCACGTGTGTGTACCTGCGAGCTCACTGTTCACAGCACTGTGGTGGGCCCTCTTCAGGAATGAAGAATCGGTCCCTCACTGTGACAGTTAAATAAGCTCATATGTGTAAAGAATTGAGCACAGGGATGTGAGGGAAGGACCCGAAGTTAGCAATGGGGTGTTATCAGTAGAAGCATATGGTCGCTCCAGTAGTAATTACTCAGTAGCTGTATCACAGGCCAGTGAGTCTCGCCTTGAGCGTGCATCAGAATCCCCAGCAAACACAGATTCCTGGGGTGGAGCCTGAGAACCTGCATGTCTAACAACCTCCCAGGCAACGCTGATGGGCTGGTGCTGGAACCCCCTGTGGAGAACCAGTGATTCAGATAAAAATCTAAGATCCAAGATGGTCAAAGATTTAATTGCTACCCACTGTATTTTCATGTATCTGGAACCCTACAGAAGCAGCTGGAAACTTTAAACTCTCCTCCCTGATGTCTGCATTTGCTTGATTTGGGGGGGACACGGTGGAAAGGGGCCAAGAAGCACTCACCTCATTCTTGGGGCTGCATTTCACTGCCATCCACTTCTGCTCTGAACTGAACGGGAGCTCTTTTTTTCTCACGTAGGAATCTTTAATATCACTCAAGTCCATCTAGGATAATAAAATGGGAAGCTTTCAGTGAATCATCCTAAAGCAATTTCTATGCAAAGAGCAGTCCATTTAAATTATTCACTATTCAAACCCTCTCAGGGAGATGAGAAATCCAAAGGTTTAGCTCACAGAGAGGGGCCATTTCTTTCAAATGTCCCAACCAGGAAAAAAAAAAAAGCCTCTTTTCTCTGGTCCCAGGGGCAGAAACACATGGTCTTTGAAATAGCTTCTAGCTGAGACCTGCTCAGAAACACTAGCCTGTGGGGTTCCTGTCAGAAGAAATGTTTCAGACTTGGGGATGTAGCAATTTCCCAAAAAGGAACCCCTGGGTAAGCAGGGTGGCCTATTGTCACAGTCTGGGGTCCTTGCCAGACCTGACATTTGTTGGCTCTTTGATAGTTTTGGGGGGCCAGCTAGTCTGAGCCTCAGTTTCCCCAACTGACCACCATTCCTAACCTGTGCATCCCATTCCCCCATAAGAGGTGAAAACGGGTCCTTATGGGCAGGCAAAAAAATCCACTTTCCTATATAAAGCCCAGATATGCATACAGTACACAAACAGATATACAGTATATCTGTGGTATTAAAATTCCACGGAAGGAGTGATCAGGAAAAAAAAATGTCTAAAAAGGCACCTTAGGAGGACGTTATGGGTTGCACTGTCCCTCCAAAAGATGTGTTGAAGCCCTAACCCCAGTCCTGTGAACGGGCCCTTTGGAGATGCAATCACGCAATCACGGTAACCCTGCCAACAACTTCAGCTTGGACTTGTAGTCCCCAGGCTGAGAGAGAATCAATGTCTGTTGCTTTTAAGCACACAGTTTATGGTACTTGGTTATGGCAACTCGAGGAAAGGAACAGGAGCGGCACCATGCCCAATACACGGGAAGCGCTTAAAACACGTCAGCTGTTAATGATTTTACTTTAAAAGGCATATTCTAAAATCCCAAAGCAGGACCCCCACATCGTTTGGACTCATGAAGGAGTAAAACCCTAACATGTAAAGGAAAGAGGGGTCTGGAACCTCTGCCCTCTCTGCGCTGCATGGGGTTTGGCAGGGGGAGCAGGGCAGGGACTCCAGCCCCGGGTTTGCTCCTGCTGTGCCAGCCGGGCCAGCTGTCCCTTCCCTGCAGGGCAGTGGGGGTGGCCCTCACTGTTTTAGCGGGGGCAGTAAGTTCCATTTGGTATTACTGACACTCCGGAGAGAATTTTCTTCTGTGAGCGAAAGGAAAAGAATGTGGCGTAGCAGTGTCTTAAGGCGCCTTGTTTACCTTCACAGGGATATGCTGAAAGGGAGACCCCTCTCCCCACTCATCGCCCACCCAGCACTGGCCCCTGGAACACCCTGTTCTGCGCTGTGACATGGGTGAGAGGCAGAAATGAGGGGACCTGGTCTCGTGCTGGGGAGGGACAGGCGAATGGATGGGCACAGGACAGTGCAATGGGACAGCTCAGGGTGCCCGGGTGAGCGGAGGCGTCCTCAGAGGTGGAAATGGCAGTGAACTTGAAGGGAACGCCGGAGGTGGCCGTGAGAGGAAGGGTCACAGCACAGGAGGCAGCAGTCGGGAGCAGAGTGGCTGGGAAGGAGTGAGAGGGTCCACTCCCACGGGATGAGCACCCGTGGGTGGGCGTCTACCTCGACAGAGGGGTCTGATCGGACCTCTTCCGTTATTTGTCCCCTGTGCAGAGCAGAGAGGCCCGCCCGCCAGCCATCCCTTCATCACTGAGCAGCTGCTCCGCGCCGGCCCCGGGCAGAGTGGGCGGCATTTCTGCCCAGTCACAGAGCTCAGGGGCTAACTGCTGAGCCCCGGAACCGACGACTGTACTGAAAGGAAATAAAACATTTCCCACCTTCATTGCCAGGGCGATCAAGGCACCTTCTGTGGGCTGTCCCATCACGGTGTTTTTCCTGATGATAGCGTTGTTGGCGACACAGCCTGCCTGAAAGGGGGGATTTCTGAATGCCTTTAGTTAGTATTCGGAGCTGGCCCCCTCGGGGTCCTGGGCTCACTCAGAAATGTGAAAAAGTCATACACTGAAGACCTGCCCCATTTTTTGGAGCTGGGCTGGGATAGGGGTGAGAGACAACATTTACTTTTCAAAATGAACACAGTGACTATTTATTGACTCTGCTGAATGTCGGTTGTCTTAAAGCCTTTGGAAGGAAATGCAGTGGGAGGGCAGGCAGACTGGTGGTGACAAGTGTGGGTAATGGCGAGTGACCAATACTGAGTGTGGGGTTTCTGTTCAGGGTGACCAAGTATCCTGGAATTAGATAGTGGTGATGGCTGCGCAAATTTGTAAATATCCTAAAAACCACTGAACTGTATACTTTAAAGAGGTGAATTCTGTGGTATATAAATTATATCTCAATTAAAAATAGTGATTAAAAAACCCCCACACACAGGAGCATGGGGTGAGTCCCAGCTTCCCTCCCCCACTGGCTGAGTGATCTTGGGCCCTCCCATCACCTCTCTGAGCCCATTTGTTAATCTGCACAATATTAAGGTAATAGGATGGGCCTCGCAAGGTTGCTGTGATAATTAAGTGGCCCCGGAGGTGGGACCTGTGAGGAGTGACACAGTGAAAGTCACGAAGGAAGACGGCTGGGTTCAGGCTTCGCAGAGGGCGCTGCCCGGTGGGAGGACCAGTGAGCTCTGTGGGAGGGGGAGCGCGGCTTGTGCTACAAGCATTGACACAACCAGCAGGCAACGCTCACCACATGCTGCGCGTCCGAGCAGGCAGCGAGGAGCACAGAGGGCTCTCTTTCTTCCCTTACCTCTGATGTTCCCATCTGTTGCCGGGGCCACTGGGACAACATGACTCCTGGGGGTGGCCCCGCTGTCACCAAGAACCAGCTGGTCCAGTAGCTGTGTCTCTTTTCAGAGAGAATCCCCATCAGCTTGTTTCAAATGCATGTTTCTCCCATGGTGCTTTTGACACTTACCTCCACCAATTTCCCCACGGAGACGTTGGAAAACTCCTTAATGACTTCCTTGGACGGTAAAAGACAGACCTCCCCTTGGCCATTATATCCAACTCCGCTGACCTGCAGGGCAAGGGACAGAAAGGATGTCACCAAGTGTCAAAAATATGCTCCCCCGGTTGACTCATAATATCTTTTCTGGGGACAAAATCCTAGCCACATACTAGGCTTCAAGCATGAAGACGATCCCCGCAGGACTGTGGATTAATCAGAATGTCTCACTAACTGCCACGTGTCGGTAAATTGCGATAATTTTGCTCAGTGGGACATTCTGCAGCCAGTAAAAATCTGGGTGAGAAAACTAAGTGACAGGACAGGAGAGTGCAGATGTTCCAGAACAGACGTAAGCAAACCTTTTCTTACAGAGCCAGAGAGCAGATATTTTAGCCTCTGTAGCCCATGTGACGGCTCAGCTTTGCTGTTGGGGCCTGAAAGGAGCCATTGACAACATATAAACAAAAGGGTGTGGCAGGGTGCCACCAAAACTTTATTTACAGAAGCAGGCTGTCACTGCTGACCCCTTTGGTGTGGAAGGTTTTGTGAAAAAAGCCGCAAGATACAAAACTGCACATTCAGGGAGCTTATAACTGTGCCGATGCACAGGAGAGACTCACAACTACAAAGGGACGAATCAAGGTGACTTTACCATGGGAGGTTATGGATAATGGTCTTCTAGCTTTTAAATTTTATACTGTGCTTATTATTGAAGATAATAAAAAATAAAGATGGCAACCTTAATCAGTCATGTTCCTTGCAGCTATTGGTAATGAGGAATTTGCACCATGTCACCCGTATTTGTTTTCTCCCTACTGTTTTCTAGAAAATTCCCTGTGCTCCCTCTGGGAATTCTGCAAAGGGTCTGGCAGGGCACACCACTGTCTTGAACCTTGCAAGTTCACAGCACTCACCTTGGCATGGAGCCCATCAGACGTTACGAGTTGGCTGACGGTCATTTCATTGGCGGTCAGAGTCCCCGTCTTATCGGAACAGATAACATTGCAGCAACCTGGCACAGGGAGACATCCAAGTGTATAGGAAAAAGCGGCCATCGCACCAGCGCTCAGGCTTATGAAATACCCAGGTTGAACGAACATGGCACCAAGACATCCATTCAAGACAATTTATAAGAATCCAACCAGCTGGAGTCCCTCACCTAAGGTCTCCACGATCGGCAGCTTCTTCACAATGACCTGCTTCTTGGCCATCCGCAGCACTCCCAGGACCAGCGTAACCATGACCACGATGGGCAGGCCCTCTGGAATGGCGGCCACAGCCAGGCTGGATTGAAAGGCCAGACGGGTCACCTTTAACATGCACTTGAAAATGATGTGAATTCCAACTGGGATTGGCAACACTTTTACCTGGTGAAGCTTGCCTCTAGTGTCCCCAAAGTCCCTGTGCTATTCTCTGTTCCCCATTCCATGCTGCACCTGCCTCTTTCTTCAACATCCATTGCTCTGAGCACCCCACCCCCCAAAACCCCAGCTTTTGGGAAGGGGTCTCATCTATCAGACATCCACACTTTAGTGTGAATTAGCCTGCCAGTTGTTTTGCCTCTTTACATGCTTTTGCATTAAATTGCTCTCATTTATTAAAGAGAAAAGTCTCTGGGCCCTAGAAAAGGAATTTCCAGAATCAGGCAATTAGTAGGAAGTGGGATTTTTTGGTTCAGAGCATCTTCCCTTAAATTTCACTTTTCACTGGTCTAATGGTTTAGACACTTCTGGTAAGGAAGCCAGACAGAAAATTAAAATTGAGGGAGGCAAAGTGACCCAGCTATGCCTTTAGCCGATCTGTTTGGGGTATCTGCTCACTTCTTTATCATCCCTCCAGCTCTTTCTGTATCGTGCGACCTGGCTCTCCCATAGCCATGGCTGAATGGATTAGAGGAGAGCATGTGATCCAGGCTGAACCAATGAGCTTCTCGTTTTTGGGAATCTGAACTGGGATTGAGAGCATGGATCTCCTTCCTGAGGGCAGTATGTCAACATGTGATAGGCTGTTAAGAAGGGGCTCTTTTGGCCTCAGTTTGGCTCCAGAACATCAGGGCTGACTGCTCCCCATCCCATATTCGTGGGCAGGCCTGGCTGAGGGCAGAGGCTGGTTAATGACCAGCTGACTCAGGCTGATGGGGGAGGCTGGAAATGAGCGAGTGATAGGTGCTTTTGTGCAGAGCTGGGCAGTGAGTGTCACCAGGACACACCCACCATGGTTCACCGTCTGCACTGGAACCTCCAGCAGAGTCCTGCAGGCCTTCAGCAAATTTTTGCTGAGTGAACAAACACCCAAGTGAATACATGGCAGGGGTCTAGGCCCACACTGGCTTGGCACATAGTGAGTGCTCTACATGGGCTGGTTAATAATCGGAAAGCCTAGCTGAGGAGGCCCATTCAACCAAAGTCACACACAGCGAACAGGTTTCATCCCATCTAAGACAATGCTGCTTGCGAAGGACAAGTAGCATTGTGCCCCTAAGAAAGAAAAAAATATTGCCAATTAATCAGCAGCACGGTGCTTTATCACGCCACTTATAAGTCTGACTTCAGAGAAGTGAAAATGTGAAAAAGCACGTCTTAGAACCAAAGAAACGCAGTACATGATGGTGGCCTTTTACGCAGGGACGATGGAGCCTTCGGTTATATAAACCAAGGTGCCTGGATTTGGTCAGGGGACTGTGCCCGGTTTCTATGGCGATGGCGAGACNGGCCTTTTACGCAGGGACAATGGAGCCTTCGGTTATATAAACCAAGGTGCCCGGTTTCTATGGTGATGGCGAGATGGCTTCCTTGGTTCTCTGGCACAGGCTGATGAGGCTAACTAAGCAAACATTTGCGAGGGTTATGAGGGGGCATTTTCCCCCATGTGGCGTGGGGAGGGTGATTTTTGTACCAGGAAGCTTTCATAATAAAAAAACGAATCTACAAAGTAATAAAGATTAGAGTAACCAGGAAAAGCAAGTATATCTCGGATCACCTTGAGTGTCTCTCAGAGCAGGGGAAATTAGGATACAGTGTTTAAAAGAGTGACTCTCATTTTATTTTGGAGAATCTCTTCCTCACTGGATATTCTGATGGGGCTTGGACGTCTGTCTCATTATAGGACTTGTGTGTTTTTTTAATGGAAAAGGTGGACTTTATTATTTTTTATTATTTTTAAAATCCTCATCTGAGGATATTGTTTCCATTGCTTTTCAGAGAGAGTGGAAGAGAGAGAGGGAGGGGGGGAGAGAGAAATACCGATGTGAGAGACATGCATCGATTGGTTGCCTCCCCCATGCACCTCAACTGGGGATCAAGCCTGCAAATGAGGTATGAGCCCTTGGCTGGAATCAAACCAGGACCCTTTAGTCCAAGGGCCGATGATGCTCTAACCACTGAGCAAAACCATCCACGGCCTGGACTTTATATTTTGGTTTGGAATCAGTTTCAGACGGAGTTTTCCAAATGTCTGCCATTTGTATTTTGCTTCTATGATTTTTATCACACCTGCGTACCTCCTGGATCCTAACTATATAGTACCCTTAAAACCAACTCTTTTTTTATCTTAAGGTTTTTAAATTTTTTTTCATGCCCCCAGGATTTGGTATTAACGAGATTTGGTTTGTTGAAGGAATGCCCAAGTGTCTAAAACCAAAGACTTTTCCAGTTTCCATTGATTCAAAAAAAAACAGTTATTGAATACTTGTAGTAGGACACACACACCTGCCCACATGTTGATTTTGCTAGCCTGCCCCTCAACTGGTGCACACAGTGCAGTGCAACTAAAAACCAGGGCCTTTGGCATTTTAAAGACCTGCATTTAAGTCCATTCTGTTGCTAATTGTCAGGTAATGGTGTCCCTTCATTTATACACAGACTAGCTTGACCATGTACCAGAGACATGTACACCCAACTCTTAAAGCAAGGTCCTCCTGCCCACACTGGTTAGCTCTGGGGAAGCAGCACCCTGTGACCTCGTGTCCCAGCACAGACAGGGTGCCTCGTCCACTGTGAGGTGCGTTACTGTAATTTACTGTAATGATAGCTACACACTAATGTTTGCAAACAGTGGCTTTTTTATATAAACTAGGAAGGCTCAGGGAGCTTTGCAATAACAACATTCCTAATTATCTGCTCTATGCTGTCTTTTGTTGCCTTTTTTGACATATAATTCACATACCATAAAATTCACCCCTTTCAAGTATATAATTCAGTGGTTTTTAGTATATTCAGAGTTGTGCAATCATCACCGAAATCGAGGTTAGAACGTTTCCATCACCTCCGAAAGAGGCCCCGTAACTGTTAGCAGCCACTCCCCAGCCCAGCCCTGGAAACACAGTCTAATTTCTGTGTCTATGGAGCTGCCTATTTCGGACATTTCATATAAATGAAATTATACAGTACGTGGCCGTTCGTGTCTGGTTTCCTTCGCTTAGCATCATGTTTCCTAGGGCCGCCCATGCTGTAGCGGGTGTCAGTGCTTTGTTTCTTTTTGTGGCTGAATAATATTCCGCTGGATGATTTTTATCCATTCATTAGTCGATGGGCATCTAAGCTTGTTTACAACATGGGTTTGATGTCCGAAGTGTATATTTTTATTCACAGACATTAAAAGAATTTCCCACGTATCACCTAAAGCGTCTTGCAGACACAACAGCATGGGGTCACCCTCCGGAAACCACGGGGCTTAACATGAGCCTAGAAACGTGTTGGCTTTTCTGTGTCCCAGAAGTGTCACCAGCTGCCCTTCTGCTGGGACATACCCAGTTAGTGACCATCCCTGGCACTGGGCCTCCCTTGCCTTGGCAAGCAGCTGTGGAAAAGCTGGGGTGACTCAAGCCACTAAGCCAGCTCCCTGCTCATCTCCGCATTGTCCCCCGGAACCCGGGGGTGTGACTGTTGCTTGTTGGAATCACCATGTGGAGGAAAGGCAGGTTCCTTGGGCTTAAAGTCAAGGGCCATGATTCCCAGCCCTGCCATCAGCTGTGTGGCCTCAGTGACATGTCCTCTATTCTCTCCCATAGCTTCCTCTCTAAAAGAAGGCCCTAGACCACTTGTCAAAGGAGTAATAGGAGCAGCCACACACCGTGAGCTCCGGATTGTTGCAGGAGCCTGCACAGGCTCTCATCCCATCCTCGCCATGGCCCCAGGAGGGGCTGTCTCATCACTCCCACTTTACAGAGGAGAAAACTGAGGCACAAAAAGTGCAGAAGTGCCCTGGCTAGTGTGGTTCACTGGTTAGGGTGCAGGCCCACACACCAAGGAGTCACAGGTTCGATTCCCTGTCAAGGGCACATACCTGGTTTGCAGGCTCGATTCCCCCGCCCCGGTTGGGGCACATGCAGTTGGCAACCAATCGATGTGTCTCTCTCACATTGATGTTTCTCTAGCCCCCCCCCCC